TCATAGTTTAATTGTTTTATTAGAAACACTGTTGAAGGCGCTTAAATATGCTCACGTAATTGCATTCTCTCATCGGAATTAACGAAGGAGCTGCTAATTATTCTTGCGAGCTCGACACTTGATCTCTTCTTTACGATATTTCAACTTTAGGGTTTCATACTTCACTACTTGGCACAGGTTTTCTGTCTTATGAACCTTGATAATAACAAAATTATCCCCAATGACCGCCGTGCTCTCCGAAACACGCCATAGACATGACTGATTGACAACATCTAAACTAATATTTAAAAAAATATGTTTGTGTCGGTTGGATCATTCATCGAGGTAGGTTTTAGGGTATAAAACATCACGATGCGACCAAGATTAGAGCCCTTCCGTTGCGTGCCCTGCGGAATCAGTTCAAGATATAAAACAAATAATTTAAAAATTGTCTGTGACAGTACCTGTAGTATGTAGGTTTATGGCAATAAACTTTTGGTCGAACTAATTCATATGGCAAAAGAAGGTTTGCGAGAACAGCTAGTATTTTATATAAGAAGCGAAAATGGGATATTGCGATGAAAATTAGGATATTGTTACGTTTAAAGTTTTCGACATTTTCAAAAGTACTCGAGTTTTTTCTTGCTTACTCGATTTTTCTAAAACATTTTAATCTCCTAAGTACGGAACCCATTATTATAAGGATGGCTCTTGCATTTTGTTTTTGCTCCTCTTAGCGTTGCACTATCTTGAAATGAATGCTCGCTTTCCGTGTAGACTAATTATGTAATTTTCTCCGTTTCATATTCCATGGCTGAAACAAGGGGCGTTTTTCTTTTGTTTTGAAACGGATAACTTTATCTTGCTAACATGTACTATTTAATTTATTCCCTGCAGTTTTTTGTTGGGAGTTTGGCTGAATATTTTTAGCATATAGACATTTGCATTTTTAGTTATATGAAATAAAGATGAACCAAAAACGTCCAACTTTTTATAACGTACGTACACACAAGATTCGTTGGACAAAAGGTAATCTATTATACTATGTAAATCTCTATTTACTTAGAAACACTGTTGAAGGCGCTTAAACCTTGGAAAGGTTCTATCAAGCTTTTAAAAGGCTTTTATTTGTAACACTAACTCTTAACGAAGGAAGTCCTTTATACTTAGCTTCACCGAGCTCGTCACATATAAATGAAAATCCACCAAGCTACGTTGGGCCTTGATTAAAAATGGCGTATCTCCGGTGAAAGCTCGCATATTTTCTTGGGCGATGAATATTTCCACTATAACACGTAGATCTGACGACCCTCGTACTTAGGGTGGATCAAGGGACGCTGTGGAGATTCCCGGATGAATAAACCTAGAGTTCAATGCACTGCGGTGCATTATAGGCCCTAGTGTATGTTAGTGTGTCACTGACGTCTTGCTGCTGTTCTAGCTGAGCCTGGGGTGACAACAATACCTCCCTTGATATGGCAGAGACGATATTTCTTTCATATTCATAACTTAATGGTTTATCCTATATTTGTTTGAACAACGCTGTTTTGCCACAGCTTAGTCCAGCTCAGCTTAGCTTTATATATGTCTATTAAACGTTATTATTGTCTCACTAATGACTAGGAGAATAGGATGAATAGCTTAACTCTGAGCTTAGTGATTTTGGTAATATGATTTTAATTATAAACATACTAAAAGCGATAAAAAAGTATAGCTTTTCATATTGACTGATAATAACCATTTAAATGAGGTTAGGTAATATATAAATAAAAGGCTGATCTAATTCACTCTGCATTTATTGTGAAGGTTTATAAGCAACACACTTAGAGACTATCAACATTTGTTGAACACACAATAAAACCACACAGTTTTTATGTTTTTACTATTTGAACGTTTGTATTATCTACGATGATTCTTTAATGTCGGAAAATTCGTTATTTCTTTCTAAATATTTACCATATTCTTTTCATTAAAAACAATATTTGAATGAAAGTTTTCATCGGATTAAATCGTACAAAAATTTATAATGATACATTATTTCTACCCTTATTTGCAACACAATGCGCCATCTTAGATAATGAGATTACAGTGTTGTCTATTCAAATCCTTAGATCTAGGTATAATTATGTAACTTTTGCGCCGATGCGTGACAAATTCAATCATTAACAGATCATCACTGTCAACAAATTAGCATATTATTGTTTGTGCAAGCATCTGTTAACATCTAGTTGTGCAAATAGTTTGGTCTCACTCAAAACACACACATTCAAATTAGTTGCTTTTTTATTTAAGGCTTAAAAGTTAAATGCATGAAGTTAAATGAATGACCATAATAAATTGTTTTGTTAGGCAGATCTCAGAAGTAATCCTTACTATATATAATATTATAAATGCGAAAGTAACTCTGTCTGTCTGTCTGTTACTCTTTCACGTCAAAACTACTGAACGGATTTGAATGAAATTTGGTACACAGATGGTCTAGACCCTGAGAAAGAACATAGGACTTTTTATTGCGGAAAAGGGGTTGTAAGGGGTTAAAAAGGGGGGGGGATGAAAGTTTGTATGGCAATTCGTGGTTTTTGAACCTAGAACAATGAAACTTTCATCTTTGGTTTTTTGGGAATAAGAGTGGGATTGGGAGTGGGCGTGGGAGTGGGAGCGGAAGTGGCAGTGGGAGGTAGATTAGGAGTGATGTGAGGTGAGAGTGTTGCGGCAAAGTAGCACTTACAACATATTTTTGGCTGCGATTAATGCGCAATTACATAAATTAATAAACAGCCAAAAAAATTAAAAATTCTACCTCAAGTCACTATTCCACGCGAACGAAGTCGCGGGCACAGCTAGTAATTAATATTCCAATAAAACAGATGAAATGTTTAACAATCTTTCGTTAGAGAATATTTTATAAGTAAATGATCTTGTGAGTTCTGCCTAGCTACATTGCATTACATTCTTATAAATAGATGAAAGTATTGTTTGTAAAACACTTTAATGGTTTAAAACGTGAAATATATTAGTTTTAACTAAGTTTCGGATGCTTCGTAGCAGCCACGGGTTAACTACACTTTTAGATGTGTTTTATTTAAACTAGCGTTTTGCGATATAACATTTACGAAAAAAGTGTTTTAAGAACTTGCCTAGATTAATACACTCTTAAAAAATGTCAAAGCTCCAGGCAAGTTACTTAGAATTGTAATGAATTAATAATTAAAAGAAAGAAAAACAATGATATAAGTAACGGAGCAGCTCATAAATGCCATGATGAGACTAATATTGAGAGGGAAGAAACGCCATATCGAATAACGAGGTGGTCTGATCTCCAGATATTCAAGAGATTTTTGAATCTCATTACGATATTCGTCATCTGTGAAAATAATTTTAAATATCTATTTTAAGCAGGCCAGTCTGAAACCAGCGCTGCTGACTGTGATAAGCATTCAGCAGCCCAGCTGAGACTGCCATTGCCATTTTTATTTATTTTATTATCTAATTAGTAGTTTTAAGTTTTATAATTTAGTAGTTAAGTATGTGTTGAAATTGCTATAAAACGTATCGAATTGGAATTGAATTTGAGTATTATAATATTTAGATTTACAACTTGCTTGGGCTTATCTCTGCCATAGCCTATCTGAGTCGTCATAGTTATTTATTTGTTGCTTGATCTTTCTTATTCACCTTATATTTTAATTATTTGGAGGACAAAATTATATATTTTATACCTACCTTCAGTATACAATAATTCCACAGCCAAAGTCCCCTTGATGTCGTCATACTCGTTTAAAACCATTTCGAGGAATATTATGCTAAGAAATGTCAGTTGAAAGTGGAGCAGTGAGCAACTCAACAAAGGCAAAGCTATCACGGCATATGCCGGCTAACATAGAACAAATAAATTTGTTTTTTATGATGAAGGTCACTTGATGGTAGGTAAAACACCCCGCCTATAGCATCTAAATAAGATGCGCGGCGACCTATCTTAGCTTTGGATATTCGAATCCATAGACTGAAATCGAAACTTGATTAAACTTCACGAATGTTTTATCTGTGGATGGTGGTCCTGACCCATTCCAAAAACATATGATCCAGATGGATATGAAATGGGTTTTTGGAATCTATTTAGATTCTAGACAAAGTCTAACATGTTTCGAAAACATTATAAATTGAAAAAGTAGAAACAGTGGACCCAGTGGGGATCGAACCCATGACCCGTTGGTTTGAAATTCCGCTGCAGTGATGTACTAAAAATAACTTATAACATTTACTTACTTTTTCTACTATGATTGTGACGACTAGACTTATCTCACCAACCACTTTAATGAAAAGATAGAGCAAGTCGAAAAACGTCTAAAATTAAAAAAAAATATATTAGCAACTGTTTGAATGTAAACTGAAACTGTGTGGCCGCATGCATTTAAAATGGTATTGTATCTTTAACTTTTTAGAACTGCATATTTGTCCTTCTATTCCAAAGCCGGATTAATTGATTTAAAAATTATTTAAATTAAAAAAAGAGTACAACACTACAGCATCTAAAACATATGTTTCAATTTATATATAGGTAAGAAAAGATCTTGAAAAATATAACCAAATAATGAATTCTTCCTTGACACATTTTAGGTCTTCGGTTAATCAAAACTAACTGAGTCAGCGAATTCGTACGCGTAGAATAGTTTTTGGATATCAATTTTGGATTTTGCAAACCTCCTGTTCAACTCTATAAATCTAAGCTGTTAACCACGACGTCGTCCGCGTCCCGTTGTTTTTGCAAGTTAATCTTACAAAATAGATATTTTAGATCATTTAAAGTGATAGACACTTTTATACATATTTTTGGGTATTCTTCTTTTCCTTAAAGTCTGCGACACTATATGTCTCTCTTTCAAGATTACATCGTGGGTCACAGCTTAAGTTTAAAAAGAAAGGGTTTGTAAAAACGAATTTTGGATGCCCAAACTAACGATTATCGCGAAAGAAGTCGCCAACACAGCTAGTAGATAGATTCAGTAGTTTATAGGTGAAAATCAGGGTTCTCTTACCTTCAGCTTAAGGACTCCCTTCACCTCGTCTAGGTCGTCTAGAAGATTTTTATAGAATAGGTTAAATTTCTTCAAATACAGCATTTTTGCATCGACATCAGTGTGGCAACATTTAGCGCGTACGCAGCTGTTTAAATATTTCATTCTTCTCCAAAATAATTCGTAAATAACGGAGACAGTAACATGAGAGAGCGTTTGAGAATGTTCCGCTAATAGGATTATAATCCTCTTAGAATTACTTACAGGTGATTCGGACATGTATTCGATTAAAATTTTGCAAAACATTGCTATCACATAAATGGTTAGAGTCGACCACGCATCGATGTGACCCCTGAACTTCATAACTTTATCCATTGTGACAAGGGAGGAATAAAATTTCAAAACGTAGCTCTCCTTAAAAATTAGAGAAACAACTAAATTTTGTAATAGCTTAATTGGTAATATCGAAAGATAAAAGAGGCTGTAGGTGCTCATACGATCTCTGGACTCCACTAGACCGGCACTGTAATACAGAACGAAAATAATATACAGAAGAACACAATAATACTTTGAAATCAATGATAGTATTGTTGTTTTATCGAGTTCGTAATAATTTCCAAAAAGGAGGCGGTATGATAGCATGTACTTTAAAATTGGGAAATATTTAAAATTTAACATTTTTATTACGAAATGTTATATACGTGTCCGGTCGCGAATGGCAATGTTTTAAATCAATAAACTCAAGTACGGAATCGGCCACGTTTAAACAAGGACACCGTTATCATCGCTGCAATACAATTTGTTATATGGCTTTCATTACTTTATTTTTTTGTAAGCAAAATTATACCTAACCGGCGATTTTCAAGCGCTCTTTACTAATTAATTTTAGCAATGTACTACTTAGAAGTTGGAAAACATATTTAAAAAAAAAACTATGTACACACTATTATACAGATAAAAGGGAGACTACGACCGTCCAAGAACAACAAGATAAGAAAGAAAGATTACGCTCTTAAAGAAATAATTATACTTAGAAACAGAACCAAATTTGGAATAAAATCTTATTAAATTGGAATTACTTTACAATTTGCATCTATTAAATTGTACGTTTTATCTGACGCATTTGATATAGTTTGTCATTTATACGAGAAGCGATGTTACCAGAACAATTCCATAAACATAGACCGGAAACCCTGTACGCACTGTTCTGCCCAGTTTATTTCAACGTGCATGGCCTCCGAGGAGTGATTTACACAGCCTTCGTGGCAGAAGACTGAAATAAGCCAGCAATATACGGAGTTGCACAGTAATAGATTCGCTTGTTACATAAACACCGCTGGAATACTAACGGTAGTGTGAAATGCTGCATAGCTTAGTATTTATTGTTCGATGAGACTAGTTCTTTGTTGTGGCCGAATCTAAATTAAATCTAATTTTGACCACATGCGAAAGCTGATGTTTTGAGAAAAAAATAATTAAATACTGTCTGTAGTTTATGTAAGTAGTACACATATAAATAAAACTCTTCAACGGTTTAAAACGCGAAATCACGTGCCTGCCGTCACTAAAACGTCAGGCCGTAGTTAAAATAATTTGCAAAATATAAACATATTTAAAATAATTATACAAAATCAAATTATCTGTTTTAAATTTGAGATATTTTTACTTAATTTTTCAATTAATAAACTCTGATACACAAGATACAATAAATTAAATTTACTTTAATTTAATTTTTTTTTCTTAATTACTCGGCAACTAGGCAAACTCGGTGTAAAATGACATGCAGATTGGTGGACAGCCGGAGGAATATGGATGGATAGAGCTTAAGAAAGGCTTTCGAAGATACATACAGCCTGTATGCTGGACGAAACTGTATGATGATGATGATGATGATGATATTGTATACTTGAAGAAATTTTAGCAACTCCTTCTCACTAACATCCACCAAGCAAATGTATGCTTTTTAAACAAAAACAAGGAATTTCTCATTGTAGTGTGCCTTTTTACGTACAATTTAAAATAACATCTTTAACTCGTAAATGACAAAGTTAAGAATACGTTCGTTCATACGTTTCCGCGTTGATAATGGTAGTATGATAAAATAATTAATTAGTTTCATCCGAAGCTCGTACAATTGCAATCAGTAGAGTGGACATGTGCAACAGCTGTGTTGTTGGCAGCTTCATTTCGTATGCTAATATGCAACATATGGTTCTATTAAAATGTCTCTACTTAAGTAACATTAAAAAAAAATAATATATAGTATATAATTTCTGTGAAGTATTAATAAGGACATTTTCATACTGTTAAGGGTAAGTTCAGAAAGTTTAACGACGTTTCGGTTTCAGTCTGTGGATTTCCGAATATCCAAAGCCAAAAAAACGACAACACATCGTGTTTTAATGCTATAGGAATATATTTCACGGACCATCTAATGAACCTCTGTTGTCCTTCCTCCCTGTCTCTGTCTGACCTCCTTGTCTGTTCTCCTTTATTATTAAAAAAATCTAATCCAAAACGGTACAAATTCAAAATATACGTTAAACGAGAATGAGCAAGATATTAATATTTCATTAAAAACTTTTATAAGATCGTGTAATATGTGCACTGCAAAAAATAGTGAAAAGAAAAGAAAATACCTTTCTCCTTAGGTCATTAATTATACAACAATAGTACAGGGTGATCTAAAAGGATTGTGATAGCAAATGGAACATTAATCATTGTAGGTGAGACGAGCTAAGGGATTTCTTATCGAAACCTTAATAGCTTCGCAACTTTGTGTTTATGCGATTCTGCATTTTTATTATCCTCTAGTTTCGAACTTCAATAATAACAAAGATTTGAAATATTATAATCATCGCATGGGAATTCTCACCTCGACATAACTTTACCTATGAAACTATTTAAATAAAACACTTTAACGGTTTAAAATGCGATATATTAGTTAAACTTGTTTGAAAATTATTTTTAATTTCGGCCCGACGTTTTGGATGTTTTGCAACAGTCGTGGCCACGGGGAGACTCAAATGGGAGATTTAAATTTGTACTACTCGCGTAAACTATAGACAGTATCTACGAAACTATTTTTAATGTTTTTAATACTTTTTCCTTTTCTTTTATTCATGTAATATTTTTAAACTCCCACTCCCATTAAAATATGTCATAATTGTTTCACATCTTTCCACAATGTTTAGTGCTAGTTGCTATTTGATAAGGAATAAACTGGATATCAGCGCTTAGCAAGCCTTACTGAGTACGTTAAAATTGCACTTTTTTCTTATTATTTTCATTGTCAGGTATTTTTATTATTTATTTCTGTTGTAACTTTTACTTTGTGTTGATAAACTGATTATTTAGAAGGAGGATATTACGATATACGAACTGAGTTTTACTACATCTGAGCTCTTAAGTGTCAGAGTAAAGCTTCAAATTCTGTCAATCTAACTACTGAACGTGTACGTCGACAAATCCCGTCCAATACATCAGTAGAATGGACTGGGATACAGTAATTACGCGTCAAACAAAGGGACGTATGTAAATATACGATATTACGTGGATACGTGGACAGACAGACGTATGTGGAAATTATACAGTAGTTTTGGGCGATTTACGTTAGGGACGGTGCATTTAAAACATATGCGAGAGTTCGAAAGACAAGTGACGATTCTATATTTAAATAATTAATTGTTCTTACGTCACTTTCATAAGAATTTCAATAGTTTTCGATTTATCCAACAGTATTTAATCCAAATGAATAAAATTTATATTCATATATTAAGCTGAACAGTTTGTTTGTTTGTCTACTGGTTCGAAATGAAAAAGTATTTTTGTGTTCGTTAGAGCATTTGTTAAGGAAGGCGATACCGCATCGCGATGTGACTAATAGGAGCGAAGAAACAGTGGGAAATGTGGAAAAGGTGCGGAATATTATTCCTCTTAGTGGGTCTCCAATTCGCCGCCTGCGAAAATGGTACAAGATTCCCACAAAATTTGTATAAAATAATTATACCTTCTTTAAAGAATCCAAATAAATGTCCGGGACACATGTCTATCTTTCAAGATTAAATTGCAAGAACGACGGGACGCCACCGACGTCGTGAGTAACAGTAATAAAGTCGCTGATACAGCTAGTCTCTAATATCTGCCGAGAACTCCTTCTCTTCCGGCTCCAGATGAACCAGAATTATTGCAAAAGTAAGAAAGCAGACTACATACACATTTGCATTTAAGAAAAATATTCATAGTTTTTGTGGTCTTTTATATTAGGTTTTATAATCATCTCATATCAGGAATTATACAAGATCTATAAGCTGCCAGATAGATTGCTAAAATAACACTGCTTCCTATTCAACAAAATCTGATCAAATGCACCGACCTTACTTCGAGTAAACCTTTAAAGGCTGGTCATTAAATAGGGATTTCGAGGGTCGAGTGGACTAAAATAAAGTTAGTCTCGGCTCGTCTGCACTATTGAGGAGTTAGTGCAGGTGATTAATACACCTCTTTATTACTAATCTCAACCCTCGGGTGCATCTTCATTGCTCTTACTCAATATGGAGAAATTTGCCATTTAAATAAAAGATTAGTTTTATGTCACTTTGTTAACAAACTTGTTGCAACACTGCGAGTTACTGGTTATTTAAATTTGCCTGGAGTTTAAGATTTTGATTCGATTAAAGTATTTAAAATCGAAACTTAGTTTACAAACAATCACCTGTACCAATGAGCGAGTCCACACCTCATTCAATTTTTTCAACTTATTGGTACAGTAAAAACTACACCACTCGCGCAATAATTTCAACCAACACTGCAAAGTACTTGTTTACAAACAATCACATGTATCAAAACTACATACTCGGTTTGAACCGGTAACAGGTCCTGTTTGGTCTTTTTAGCATTTTTTTATGATAGAGGACGACAGACAAGCATGGGGTTTACTTAATGGTAGGTGACATACGCCGGCCTATAGCATCTAAACAAGATGTGCTGCCTACCCATATTGGCTTTAGGTATTCGGAAATGCACAGGCTGAAAGCGAAACGCTGTTACACTTCACGGCTTTTTCATCTAAGGACGGTGGTTGAGCGGAATTTCGATATTCCTACCACCCATTTATTATTCAGATTCCCAGACGAAGTCCAACATCTTTGAGAGGTCGTACATTGCTACTATTTCACCAACAAGCCCGTCGACACATGGTGATACCTAAACCTCTTTCAAATCGTAATAAATGAAGACCATACTTTTGATTCGCCTTCAAACTATATAATCCACGGACTATTATTAAATCTTTATAGATCGCGCTTCATCGACCAAATCCTAAGAGCTAACGTAGGTATTGCTATTCCATAATTCATAGCACATAAATCAAGGTATCACCAGAGCTCGTACGTTTATCGTTGAGCACACAAACACATAAATTACGATATAACCGTTGCCATCTGAAGTGGTTCTGTTAAGTCGAGAATACTATTATTCAAGTATTAGCGAGTAGATTGAATCGATAACACTATACTTATTGGAGGCCTGACAGAAATAGACAGGGGGGGATAAGGCTCTGGACTTAATTACGATGCTTTTCCTTTAAAAAAATATTAAAAGTTGGGCAATAATATCTATATGTATACTAATGTATAAAGCTGAAGAGTTTGTTTGTTTTGTTCGAACGCGCTAATCTCAACACTGGGAATTGGATTATTTGTTACTTAGAACATTATCGAGGAAGGCAGGCTTATATAACTTATTGGAGCGAAGAAGCAGCGGGAAATGTGAACAAAACGGGGGAAATTTTTCATCTCTGTGGGTTTCAAATGCGGACGCTGCGAAAACGGTTCAAGATACCCAACAAAATATGTATAAAGGAATGATTCCTCTTTAAATGATCTAAAAAAAACTTTTAAGATTAACATGCAAGAACCCGAACGACGGGTCGCGAGCGACGGGACGCGACCCCTACGACCCGATGCGTCGTCGGTAGCTTTTCTTTATAATTTTAAAAGATGTAGAGGTCTGTAAATAAAAATTTGGATGCCCAAAATAACTTTTCCAGCCGGACGATGTTGCTGACACAGCAAGTATGTTATAATTTAGATATGATTCGAAACGTTCACTCATGTATATGAGTATATACATACACTTATAGTTTTAATAATGAATCGTGTTCATTTCCGTAATTATAGCCCGCGGTTTGAACCGAATTGCGTAATGTGTCGCCCATTAATTATAACTGTGCCTATATATTAATAATTAAATTTAATACGTCATAAACAGTTTTTACCTGAAATTCGGAAGACATTGAAATCTCACATACAAGAAGTATCTGATCACTAGCTGTGTCAGCGACTTCGTCCGCGTAGAACAGTTATTTTGGGCACCAAAATTTGTTTCTGCAAACCTCCTCTCCATCTTTATAAATTCATCTGTTACCGACGACGTTGGTCGTGTCCCGTCGTTTTTGCTTCTTCATCTTTTAAGATGAAGAAGCAAGAACTCTAACAAATAATTGGTAGTGATGCATTAATTTGGACCAAATTTGAATACCCTAAAACGATTCTTGCGAGTTAATCTTAAAAGATAGACTTAATGTACTGCCGGGGACTTTAAGATTATTTTGAGATGAATCATTCCGTTATTTATATATTTTTTTTGTTTCTTCAACTGTTTTCGTAGCGTATCACCGGTTTGCTTAAATTAATTGTTACTAACCCAACTAACGCACATTAGAATTAATTAATTATTTTAAATTAATGTATGGGTTTATGGTCTGACAAATAAATTATTATTATTAAAGATGAATAGATTTTTCCGTTAATACCACATTATCCACTGTTTCTCGCTCATATTGATCTCGTCGTGATGTTAAACATAAAGCCTTCCGCGATATACAACACAAAAATATTTTTTTTCAGTTCGAAGCACTAGTTCTTAAGATTAGCGCGTGAAACAAACAAACTTTTCAGCTTAATAATATAAATAAATAACATTATAAGTTTACATTTGAGCACCCTCAAGGCGAGTGTGGAATTGAGAAACGTTATCTCAATATAAACTTAGAGCCTTCAGTCACTATCTTTCTGGACCCCTACTATCTATTTTTGTTAAAGCTTAATTTTCTATTAAAGCTTAGAACAATTTAGTTTGTTAGATAAGGCTTGGGCGTAAAGTATTAGTGCAAGTGAGTTATCAGATGCATGATGCCTGTAAGATAATTTAAATGTATGATTGTATTCGTGAATTTACTTTATACAAAATTATTTTTACGCAAAACTAAGCATGTGTGGGGTCCAAATAAAATGGAGATGTTTGTTGTTAAATTTTATATTTTAATTTATAAACTTGCTATCATATCACATACACATAAATGATAACATTAGTATGTGCGTGATCGCACCCTTCCTTGAAATTCAGATTAGAACTGTTTGTTAAATATATAGTCGTGCCTGTGACTTTGTCCGCGTAGAATAATTATTTTAGTCGTCAAAATTTGCGTTCAAACAAACAAGCTTTATAATATTAGTATGGATTAAAAATGCATATTAAGGTAGCGCTCGCGCCGCGTACATAGTAGGAGTATAATTAGGTATGTATGGCAACGGAACAAAAACGCTCATCTTATATAAAATCCATATAAAGGTTTCTGGTTACGTTGCAAGAAACTGTTCAATTCTACAAATATAAATATTCTTTCTTGCCACAAAACAACAAATAGAAAAAAAAATAAAATACTTCGTCAGCGTAGAATAGTTATTTTGGGAATGCAAATTCGTTTTTGCAAAACCTTCATCTTTGTAAACTTAACCTGTTACCAACGACGCATTCAAACAAAGAAACTGTTCAGCTTTATATATTAATATAGATAATTAGAATAGAAGTTTCGACCTTCAAAAGTTCACCACGTCACGGTTGGTGGTTATAATTATTACACAGTTATGCTTGAAATAATTTAAATAAGACTATAGTATCGATTTTATAAATGCAGTTGCACAGCTAACTAAAAGGAAACATAGTAGGGGAAAGAACGCTGCAAGCGAAACATGCATTATGTATAATATCTTTATAACTGACTTCAGAAAATGCAATTTGAAACAAAGTAATAACTTTAATGCGATTGAAGATTAAAAATACCTAAGAAGATTTACTATTCTAACAATGGTTGTGAATTCCAGTTTATATTACGATTGACAAGAATATGGTTTACTGGTTGAAAGACATAAGATCTAATAAAGATATATTATCTGCCTATTAAGACTTTAAACATTATTTGTAATTAACTAAATACACACACACATATATTAATCAATAGTGTAGATTAATCTGCGAAACGGACACAAAAATGTGTTTGTCGCATGTTCCACAACAGAATAGGGGAAATTAAGATTAACGATAGTGTAAGTAATTGTTGTTAGTGGTAAATGTTTTCAAATTCAGGTTGTAATAAATCATTATGCCTGAAGTAATAGTTTTGTAAAATACTATCATATTGACATAACGACTGTCTTTGCCTCAGATCTATTCAAAGTTAAATTTAATATGATGCACTACTTGTTATTTTACAGAATTAGTGTTTCTTATACATTCATTTAGAATTTTATATTTATATCTGGTTTTATTTATTTAATTAAGGCTTGTTTTATATTTACTTGTTTTTTGGTAGTTAAAGTTAATAAGAACAAAGACATTGATATTGATAATATAAATATAATTGTGTAGTGACACCTATCATGCTTCTTGTACTTTTTTATCTCATACGAATTTCACAGTGTTGGGTCACCCGTAATTATTTCAAGCCACGGATCTACCTCCGTCGATTGGATTAATAGTGCCAGTCACGCTCTTGGCAAGGTCACTCGCAAGAAAAGCAATGTATGCAGCACAGTCCGTCGTTTCAGCCAACCTTCCTAGGGGTGTCTGCGAGAGTACTTGACTGAGTACTACATTCTGCCTCTCCGCATCAATTCCACCATTATCCATAATATTGGTTAGCACTAATCCCGGATTTACTGCGTTCACTCGAACACCATCCGGCCCGAGTTCGCAAGCGATGTTTCTCGTGAAATGGTCCATGGCTGCCTTTGACATAGAGTAGGCTAACATGCGAGGGTAAGGTGCGATACCCGAAACACTAGAGACGTTCACAATTGCGCCTTTGGTTTTGATAAGGTGAGGTACTGCTACTAATGTCAAATGGAATGCTCCACGTAGGTTAGTGTTCATTACTTTGTCGTAATTTTCCATAGTGACAATCTTAATACCACCCATTATTACCATTCCGGAGTTATTCACGAGAACATTCAGTTGACCGAAGTGGTCTATGGTCTCTTTTACAATTCTTTCAACGTCCGCTTCTACTGTTATATCAGCAAGAATGGCTAGCGGTTTGATCCCCTTCTCCTTTTCACATAACGATACTGTCTCCTGTAGATTCTTTTCATTACGTCCGACTAATGCCAATTTTGCAGAAAGCTTGGCGAAATAAACAGCTGTTACGGCACCAATTCCAGAACTGGCCCCAGTTATAAGAACTACTTTTCCGGTAAAATCCATAGTCAAGTACACGTTCTGGCTTGTGTGACGAATGAAAATGTGTTGGAATATTATAATTACGACCTTTATATATTCCTCGACGCCATCCAACAAAAAAAATAAACACATCCGCCATTTTGAGAAATCGTAACACATCTTTGGCCTTTTGAACCATTAAATTTAGAATACAATTCTAACCAATTATAGTATAAAGGTAATGTTTGTGGCATTAGGTAACGAGAGACAATTTAATATGAAAATATAGATGATAGCGGAATATAAATTTGAATAGGAAGGTTAGTTTTTATTGTTGCCACTTAAATGACATTAATTATGTCTATTTCGGTTGTGGTGTTTTTCTTTTATTTTTTCTGTGAAACGCCTTCTCAACTGGTAAATCATCTTAGAAGAAAATAGAATTTTAACTACATATTTGTATTAATCGAATGACATAATTAATTAATTAGAGGAATTCCCTATTCTTATTTAATCAAAGAGTAAAAATATAATTTCATATATCATTAATTAAAATTTAAAACTTGCTCAAAACCAAATTGCTTCTTATCTCTTTGAATGATCAAAAGTATAACGTTATTGCTTTGTGTGTGTAAAATGTATACTTGAGATCTTTATATACACTTTACGTACTCGATAGAGAATGTTATTGGTATTGGAAAGCTAATAATTTAAAGTGCCCACTCTTAATTACTTTATTTCTACTTTTACTGTGTACCGGTGTACGGTTGGTACACCAAAAATGTTGGAAATAACTGCAACTATATTTCTTAAGACATTATTGGTTTTACAATTTGCCTGTGGGTATTATACGACGTTATTTAACAATAGGATATGCAATATCGTCGCGAGAATGTTGATCGTGTTTATATTGTCAAGTGTTGTTTATGGCGGGATCATTAATTTGTCAGTACAAACGAGTATGTATTTTTATTGTGTAGGACTTTTTAATTTAATAGATTACTTAATATCTGCTGTACTATCATTTCTAAACGGAAATCTTCTGTTTAACTTCCACGGAAATTTGCTTGTGATTGAAGAGGAGGTAGGATTGATTAGGAAAAGGCGTTCCATGTATGTAACAATGTTTGTCTTTTTATTGGTTATGATTGAGAAATGCTGCATAGGGTGGGGCTACATCAACAGTTTTAAGGTGACACCTATGCCGTCTCCAACACTGTACTATGGTTTTGTCTCGTGGTACATTATGAAGTTTGGTTGTTGCTTCAACGCCATCTCGCGGTGCACAATCTTCGAGTGGAACTGGAATAGTATGAAGGAGCTGAGAAAATTGTTCGAAACCGTATCAGCTAGCACTAAACATCGTGAACAACGTGAAATTCAGTCAAATGAAATTAAGCTAATCCTACTAGCCTACAACTCGTTGCTAAATAATATTAACTCAGCAGGAACTTGCTTTAAGATATTGGTAATCTATAAAAATATGTAACTATTATTTATAATAATAATTTGACAGTGTATGGCTAATAGACAACGTTGTGGGGTCACGACTCACACCAGGTCCAACATGCTTTTAATCAATTTATAATTGTTGTGAAACATGTTGGATTTCGTGTGGGAATTTAGATAGTAAATGGGTGATAGGAACATCGAATTTCCGTCCGGGTCACGAACTACCACAAATGATGAAGCCTTAAAGTTTAAATGCGTTTCGGTTCCAGTTTCCGAATATCCAAAGACTAAATAAGCCAACAGCGCATTTTATTTATTATCTTATTTTATTATATGGCTGGGATATTTTAGTGCCTGGGTTCACATGTCTGTCCTTTTCTAGCATAAGTAACTAAAGTCGTCATATGTTTTATAAATTGATCCCATTTTATTTTTCTGTATGTCAATTTGCAGATATGTTGGCACTGTGTTTTCACATTCTTTTATATCTTATTAACGGCCTTTGGAATAGTTTACATACCTACGAGAAGTGTAAGTATTTAATGAGTGGCTTTTATATAATACGATTATGTTCACACGAAAACTGTATGGACTATCTAATATATAAAATTCGCGTGTCACAGTTTTCGTTGCCATACTCCTCCGAAATGGCTGAACCGATTTTGATGAAATTTTTTGTGCTTATCCAGTATCTATGAGAATCGGCCAACATCTATTTTTCATCCCCCTAAATATTAGGGGTAGTCCACTCCTAATTTTTTATTTTTATTTTTTAGACAAAATCTTTAATTTCTATTTTTTTTATGATACAACATACAAAAATACATACAATCCTCAATTGTCCCCCTTCTACGATCAACCCCTAATTTTTTAATAGGCATTTTAGTAATTTAATCATTTTTCCTCTCCGGTCGACAACTGATCAAACGTCATTTAATTAGTTATCCCCGCCAGATGTCTACAGGTGTCACTTCATTTATATGGCAAAACAACGTTTGCCGTGTCAGCTAGTATACTTATATAACACTTTAACGGTTTAAAACGCGATATATGTTAATTAAACTTATTTGAAAATTATTTTAACTACGGTCCGACGTTTTACTAATAATATGTAAGCCTTACAAGTGTATTATTTATATATGTGTACTAATTCCTTAAACTACGAACATTAATGGTAATATAATTGATTTTAGGTGAATAATTTCATGGTGCTCGAAAGTATTTATCACCTGGTGATCTTCGCCTATCCCTGCATCCTTATGGAGTTGACCAAAAGTGAAGTGGATAAAATCAAATTGCTTTTAACCGAAATATACATATATCACAAAGGTATTGAGGTTTTTAAAATAAATTTGTACATTAAAATATAACACTTTTAACGGTCTAAAACAGGAAATGTATTAGTTAAACTTATCAGTCACCTGGGATTCCATATTAAAAACTCTAGTTTCCAAAAAACAGGAAACACCGTTAGTCAATTCTGCAAGGATCCGGCCTGTTTCGCCAAATACTTACTACGACGGAACAGATAGCGCTAGTCTGGTAGATTTACTTTGACACCCTCCATTATCGTTTTCTAGTGACCACCGTTGCTGCTAAAGGTCCGAAACGTGAGGCCGTAGTTGAAAAAAAAATCAACTAATCTATTTCGCGTAAACTAGAGACAGACTTTAAATATACACTTATTATAATTTCTATAATAACTATCAACGAAGGTAGTTATTAAGGCTTACACGCGTTGCATATACCAAATGCGTTGAACACGTGGAGGCCTAGTTCGAAACCCGTTAATTTTATTTCTTAAGTATTATTTCGTAAACAGTTAATTATTTCGTCGGGTCGGCTCGGGCTTGCCTGAGAATATATCGAACGGAGAAAGGGACACAGGTTTGTGATCGCGCATGACAAGTATTTGAAAACATAGACAGGGTCTAAATAAAACACTTTAAGGTTTAAAACGAGATATATTAGTTAAACTTATTTGAAAATGATTTTTAAATTCAGCCCTGTTTTTTAACTGTCTCCCCGTGACCACGGCTGCTGCAAAGCATCCGAAACGTCGGGCCGAAGTTAAAAATAATTTTCAAATAAGTTTAACTAATATATCGCGTTTCAAACCGTTAAAGTGTTTTATTTAAATGTGTACTACTCGCGTAAACTATAGACAGGGTCATTATGCTTGGTTCTAATGTAAAAAAGCCAAGCTGGATTCACGTCATTGGGGCAACGAGGTCGCTATACAACCATGATAATCAATCCGTTTAAAATAATTATTTAAAAAATAAACTTATTGTCATTTTTTTTCAGATAAACGCGTCATTGCTAAAGTAGACGACGGAATACAATTTTTGGCACTTCGTCCGTTTGAATTCGTTTTATGGCGATGTGTATCCATCGATATTAAGTTTCCCATAGGGTTTTTGACTCTTATCACTTCTTATGTCATTGTTACTATACAATTTACGCATATTTATGGTTGATTTCACCTCACGTAGTTAAGGCATTAATTATGTAGTATTAAGTATGTTTGATTAAGTAACATTGATTAAATCCTGCTTCGGATTCTAGATTACATTTGTTTAATAATATTGCATTTATATACAAAACATTACTTTAATTGTTCTTTAAGTAATTTTGAGATAAAATTATGTTCACACATTAATTAAGTAATCATTTCTTTTCAAATGGAAAGCATTATTTACATTTGTTTCTTCATAATAATTAGTTAAAGCCGGCCTTTTATTATATTATGATAAAAACATATGAAAAAATGTATCTAAAAAGGCGATTTATAGATTGATGGGTATAGATGATGATGATTGAGTATATATTTTGAGGGGTCGTTGGTTAACGGTAGCAATGTATGGCTAGTAATCAACAGGTCTTAGGTTCGATCACCACCGGGTCCAACTTAATGTATCTAATCAATTAAATTTTTTCTGAGACAAGTTGGTCTTCGTCTGGAAACGTGGATATTAAATAGCTAATAGGAGAATCGGAATAAATAAAACACTTTAACGGTTTAAAACGCGATATATTAGTTAAACTTATTTGAAAATGATTTTTAACTTCGGCCCGACGTTTCGGATGCTTTGCAGCAGCCGTGGTCACGGGGAGACTCCCCGTTAAGTTTAACTAATATATCGCGTTTTAAAGCGTTAAAGTGTTTTATTTAAATGTGTACTACTCGTGTGTTGTAGTTGTGTAGTTCTAGTATATAAGTTTTCATTGTGTTAAAACATGAGGTCATTCTTATCTATAAGCAGATACAATATGATCATTATAAAACTAATAATACTAAGTGACCAATATCATTATAACTTTATTTTCATATAACGCCTGAAAGCGTAACGTGCACACGGAAAAATGTTGGACACTAATATATCATATTTCACTAAGTTCATATTGTTGTTGCAACTACTCTGTGGATATTATACGACGTTGTTCAAAAGTAGAAAATTGAATGTCGCTGCGCAGATTTACGCACTGTTCGTATTATTCTGTGTCGCGTGCGGTGTTTTTATAAATGCGCCTAAGGAGAAGGAGACTTATTATATTGTCGGATTAGTTTCCTATCATGTCGATTATGCGATAACCTTTCTACTTACTGCTGCGAACAGAAATTTGTTATGTAAGTTCTTTAGCAGCTTGCGGGCCTTAGACGTCGATTTGGGACTCACTAGGAACCATACTACGGCCAAAACATTCCTTCTCTTTCTCTTGCTCATGGTGGAAAAGTGTTATATCGGTCACGGCTACTTTATTCATTACCCGGAGATGAAGTTTGTATTCAAAGATCTTTCGATAACACTTGCCGTGTTTTCGTGGTATGTCTCGAGAGTTGCTATTTGTATTAACGCTATGGTACAGTGCATAATCTTCGAAGCCATCTGGAATAGCATGACAGAATTAGCAAAAGCTTTCGAGGTGGTATTTAATAGAAACAATAAAACAGTATGTCACATCAAATCATTGGATATACAAAGATTTATGATCGCCTACGATGCCTTGTTGGATAGTACGAATGCGACGGGGCCGCTTTTTAAGACATTGGTAAATATTTTTTGACTACTTATGCGATTGACCGCCTCCGTAGCTCATTGGTTAGATGTAGGAAGTCCTGGGTTCGAAATTAGAGAAAACGGCAGGGCACAGCCTGCAGGTAAACCAAAAATGTATATTTAGTTATTTAAATTATAGACGTTATTGCGGTTCTGTTGTAAGCGACTGAAAACAGTTCAAACTGTGTTTTTTTTCGGTTTTAACGTTTTGTGTATGCACTACAACACAACTTACGTAGAATCGTGTTCGTTTGATTTTTTAGTTTAAGATTAACGCCATAGTATCGTCAGTTAAGGGTAAATAGAGGTACATAGTTGTTTTTTAATGAAAAAATATTTATCGTTACAGATACTATGGGATGCGTCGTTTGCATTGTTTTACACCTTATTTACGACTGTTGGAGCTATATATACGGCACAGAAATTTGCAAGTATTTCCTTTTATCCGTGTGCTTCTCTTTACTAACTTTCTTTCTGTTACTAATGAAGAGTCAAAGGGATATTAAATGAATCTCTTTTAAATACTTTCTGTAGTTTACGCGAGTAGTAGACATTTAAAGAAAACGGTTTAAAACGCGATATATATTAATTAAAAAATCTTCCCCACTCCATGTGACCACGACTGCTGCAAAGCAACCGAAACGTCGTGCCGTAGTTAATATAATCCAACTATATAAATAAAACGATTCAACGGTTTACTAAACGCGATATATATTAGTTAAACATATTTGAAAACTATTTAAGCTAGCGTAGCAGTGTTAACTTTGACGTCAGAGACACCCTCCAACTTTGATCCTGACCACGGCCGCTGCAAAGTATCCGAAACGTTGGGCCGAAGTTTAACCTATATAATATATCGCGTTTTAAACCGTTAAAGTGTTTTATTTAAATGTTTACTACTCGCGTAAACTACAGACAGTTTAGTGGTTAAACTCAATTTTTTTTCTGATAAGTTCTTTATATATATTTTTTTGTAGTAATTAAACTTAGTTTTAATATGAATTTCACTTATTTTACAGGTGAACATTTATATGGTAGCTGAATGTATATGCCAAATTATTATGTTTATCTATCCTTGCATTATAATGGAGTTGACGAAACGTGAAGTGCATAAAATAAAGTTATTATTGAACGAAATATCTGCACATCATACAGGTATAAGAAATGTACATAGCTTCGCAAAGGCAGGGTACAGAATTTTGATATAGTACTTGTTTGTAAATTACATTCATCAGTTAAGCAGACACAGAGATGTGTCCGCGGCGCAGAGGTGGAAATTGTTTGGGATGAATCCCAGGACACCGTAGTTTCTATGAGACAGTGCACGGAACAACTTGTACACTTGCCTGCTTACCATAAGTAAAACAGCAACAGAAATATAAATGTCCCATGGCCCATGGCCCATGTAGGGATAACGGGGTACATACAACAAATTAACATTTCTTCTAATTTCTTAAAATTAGTATTTTAGTGCGCTTCTGGTTTGTATCCCGGGAAAGGCAGATAAAATAAATCCGTCAGCCGAAGCAGTTAAAAGATTTGAAATCTTTTAGTTTTATGTCAGACGTTTCAGATCTGCAAATTCTGCTCTATTTTCAGACGTAAAGGTGATAGCCAAAGCAGAAGATAGTTTGAATTTTCTCAGACTTCGTCCCTTCAAGTTCGTCGTGTGGCAATGCATGAATGTCGATATAAAGCTGCCTCTACGCTTCTTGGGTATCATCATAGCCTATGTCATCGTCGCGATACAGTTTATGCATGTCTTTGAATAAACCGAAGCATACGAAACGGGCTCAGACGGGCCGTAATGGTAGCAATGTACGGATAATAATAATCGGGTCATATTTCTATCCCCACCAGGTACTCGACATATTTCTAATCTTTATATATTTCTAAAACATTTGGACTTGTTGAAATTTTTTTGGGGTGGTAGGAATATCGAAATTCCGCCCGAGTCACAAACCACCGTCCACAGATGGAAAAACCTTGACGTTTTATCGCGTTTCAGTTTCGGCAAAGCCAAAATAGGTCGACTGGGCTATTTTGTATATCTCTAGTTGCAAGGAAATAAAGGTGATGTCCTCGGAGACATTAGTTACTACTGTTGTGATTTATAAAAGAAATGCTTATCCCTAAGATAAAGAGTTATGTGGTGAATAGTATAAATATCTATAACAATTTAGTTGCGAAGCTTATAAAGTAAAATGAATTAGATAAATGTTTTTGCATTAATAAGCTTTTGTATATTTTAGGTGTAATAATTAATATAACGATTGAATTTTTAATTAATAATTGTGCACATTATAATTTATATAAACAGAAAATTATTAAAAATTGAACTATGTCAATTCGCTTTAAAGTTTAAACTCATTAAGGAAGTTAAACACACAGCTACTGTTAAGTATACACTTGTGTTATTGAATAAATGCTAAAATGAAATGATAACATTTATTTATTTGAAACTACGTCTATACCTTTTATCAGATTGTGACAAAAAAATGAGCTACAAAGTCAAATAACTTAACTTAGTGATCTAGTACTAATTCCATTCCTAATTATGAATATATACTATATTTAGTAATTTCAATTTAGGAACGTTAATACGCTGTATCTGATACAGTGAATAACATATAATTTGTAGACAAATCATATATATATGACTAATAAGTCTCTCATATTGTATTGCCTGCACTCAAATGTATTATGCAGCGGTCTCATTTAAACGCTATACGCCACACCAAGAAGCTTACCTTCGCAACCCATCGGTCATTACAATTCATACGCGACATGCGACGTCTCGGTCACTACAAAGTAAGCTGTCTCATTCGATATTATTACTAAAGTTATATGCTACAATGATAAGTATTATAATATACTTCTATTGTATGGAACAATTAGAGGCGTGATGCACGTTGTTTTTTTTAATGACTATTAAATATTTTCGCCGCGTTTGCGGCTAAAATATCTAAGGGTCAGCCACAAGCGCGCGAGCCACGGTATCGGTTGGACTATCGCAATGTAAGAGGGAGCTTGAAGAGCTGAACAGAAGCTTACCTAAGCTCACCTCAACCTCGCTAGCGTAGGCGACTTTTTTGAAGTACCGACTGAGGGTCAAGAATTTGAGATCGGCGTGGAGATTGGCATTCCATACGCACCAGATGGCTTTAGTATTGCCTAGAGTGAACCGGTTCTGAAGCACCTGGAGCCTGTGGAGCGAGCTGGGGGTGGCATAGATGCACGCGACGCTGGAATAGGTCAAAATCAGACGGAGCGCTCGTCGCGAAATATAGCGTTTATAAGAGACTACATCCTTAATAATTAATTTTTAGAATCATTGTTGTGTGGTGCACTGTTAAACATTGGTGCCGCGAGTTTTGAAGTGGACGTACGTTTTCAAAATGTTAAAAAATTACCCATACATTATTAGGTTCCTACTAATACTGCAATACCCATTCGGATATTATACAAACTTTTTCAAAAGTCCAAGATGGAATGGAGTGTTTCGATTTGCTTCTGTCGTTTCTTTCGCTATTATGTTTTACAATGAATTCATACTTGTCGGTACCTTTTACCGAAAAGTTATCATCATTGTAAATTATCTTAATTACCTAATCACTACTTTGGCGTCATTGTTGTCAGGACATAGCTACCTCTTCGTATTTCGTAAAAAGTTGCTCTCTATCGAAGCGAAATTGTCCAAGACTACTCCAAGCCCGCATCTTGGCTTATACGTGTTGATATTTTTTGTGGGCATTGAAAAAACTATCTGGGTGTCTTTTGTATTATTGGATTTCCTGTTTTTCCACCGATTAGCTCAGTTCGCCATATTCTGGTTATATATCAGATGGGGTTGTCTTTTTAATGCTCTTATTAGATGCGCTGCATTCGAATGGAACTGGCACAGCATGAAGAAGCTTCAAATTGTATTTGAAGAAAAAATATTAGAAACGAATCGAACCATGGCTAGTAATAAAAGAAAGGATATTGAAGACATACTTTTAGTATACGCTGATTTACATGATACCTTGAATTCTTTTGGACTTGTTATGGAATCATTGGTAATGTATAATATATAAATAAATTGATACAGTGTTAATGTCTGCTAATTTTGACAGTTTGTACCTATGAGCTACATTCTTAGCTACGGATTCAAAGCTTCGGATGCCTTTTATCTTAATACATATATACGGAGATACTTTACAGGTGGTATGGAATTCTGTATTTCCTTTGCTGTATATTTTATCAACTGTAGTTGCAGCCATCACGACCGATTCTCATTTGGTAAGTAGAAAATATATTTTATAAGGGCGAGTCCATAATGATGGGAATGAATGTATCAGTCTAAGTAAGAATGCTTAGACAAGATGGTAGATTGCTAGTTATCTTGTAAATTTATTAAATAAACTTAGCTAATTAGATGTTATGTAAACTCACGATGGCATCAGATTAAACCTTAGTGGTTTTTATTGCTATCAATATATAAATAAATGTATTTGTTATGATGATATGATAAATAAATAAAAAAAAGTATATAATAATTTGCATTGTATAATTCAATTTATATGCTGCAATATTACAAACTGACTAAACATTCATAAACAAAGTATGCATATTCTAGGCCCTTAGTCGATTGGTGGTGGATAATGTTCTTCATATGGCAATTTTTATTTTTCCTTGTATAATGATGGAGATGATAAAAAGCGAGGTGGATAAAATAAGAGTAATGTTGACTGAAATTTATACAGAGAGTGCAGGTACTACCCTTTGTTTTGTATTACCTTGTAAGTTTATTTATTTGTCGTCTGTACCTTATGTCTGTATTTTATCTGTACTTGAAGTTTTCAGCTAGTCTAAATGAATGCCAAAATTTTGGTTCCTGGCTACCCTTCCAATGGCTCAAGTTCCACCTGTGTTATCGATTTTTTTCAATCCAAACATTTATATATCATGTGAATATATTAAGGTTTTTCAATGTATACAAAATTTTTCAGATGAAGGTGTAGTGAGGAAAGCAGAAGACGGCCTTAAATTTCTGGAGCTATGCCCTTACGAGTTTGTGGTGTTGCGTTTCATCCCTGTTAACATAAAATTGCCACTCAAGATATTGGCAGTTTTAACTTCTTACATGATAATCACTTTGCAGTTAGCTTATCTTTCTGGTTGATTTATTCGTTTTCCGTACCATTATTCTAGTATTTATATAGTGGAAGGGTTTATATGTTTTAATTGCGTCACGAATAAGCTTCTTTATTAGAAAAGATTAAATACTGTCTGTAGTTTACGCGAGTAGTACGCATTTAAATAAAACACTAACGGTTTAACTTGTTTGAAAATTATTTTTATTTTTAACAGTGTCCCTGTGACCACGGCTGCCGCAAAGCATCCGAAACGTCGGGCCGTAGTTAAAAATAGAAAACATTGTCTATAACGCGCAAGAAACATGTGAAAATTAATAATGCTTAATATAATTTCATTTGATAAATTTCAAAGAACTAGAGTTGTTTCACAAATATGTATTATGTCCAGTTAAGATTTTGTTTAAAATGACAATTTTTATTGCCATGAAGACTTCTTGATTACGCTCAACGCTGTCAACGCTGCTCAACTGTGTCGACGATTTCGTCCACGTGAATCGTTATTTTGGGTACCCAAATCCGTTTTTGCAAACCCCCTGCATTTTTATAAACTTAAGCTGGCTGGTTACCCACGGCGATGGTCGCGTCCATTACTGTCGCCGACATATACGCCCTTATTACAAAAAAATACTTAAACCATAACTGTGGAGTCTTGCTTTAACTCTTAAACCATGGTCTAAATAAATCTAAGTTAGAACCATAGTTAGTAGTACAAATGTTAAACTTCGTTTTGTAATAAAGATTTCAAATAAACTAGGGTTTAAGCCAGGTTTTAGAGTTACTCCTTATTTTGTGGACTTTTTTTTCGATCATTTAAATAGGAATGATTCTTTCAAACATATTTTTTGGGTATCTTGAATAATTTTCTCCGTTTTCTTCACACTCCTCATTGATTCTTCGCTCCTATAAGTCACATCGCAATGTTTTATAGCATGTAGCCTTCCTTGATAAATGCCCTTACCAAATTTTTCAACTCGATTTCGTAGTTCTTGAGATTAGCACGTTCAAACATACAGACAAAGAAACAAACTCTTCAGCTTTATATATTAGTATAGATTTTCATCAGACGTAACACTACTATTTAGATAGGCGGGCTTTTCAATTCAGCTCGAAGAGAGATGTCCCAGATATCGACATTTCATGAATAACTGAACGTCAAAAGGCAAAACACAATTTTATCTAAAATCAAACGTGCCCCGTTGAGTGGTGCTTGTGGAATAGTGATGTGTCATCGTTCGAAATTGCGGGGTGTATTCGTTTTACATAATATGTTGTTTTATTATTTACGTTATGCTGTAGTCAAACAAACAAATAAAATTATGTTATTTTGTTTACAGGCAAGTAGTAATAAAACTTCTGTATTCTGTTTGGCTAAAACTACCTTCTTACTAAAGAAAATAAATTAAAAGACAATCGTAATCTCGGCCTTAGTTGTCTCTCGGTATTAGTTGAAATTCAACTTTATTTTTTAAATCATTATTTTTTTTTCTTTTTTACTTGAATATAGTTATATAAAGATGCTTTCCTCGCTATTATGTATTCTTGTAATAAGTCATGATCTGCTTACCTGTAAGACAATTATGTGGTATTTCGTAAAATATTTACAATGATTTAGTTACTAATCTTGTAAAGAAAAATAAAATATATAAATATGTTTGCGTTTATTAGCTTGTTGTATGTTTAAAGTGTAATAACGATTAAATAATTGTAATTTGCACATTGTAATACAAAACAGCACCAAATAGCAGAAAATTATTTAAGATGAACGATGTGAATTCACGTTTCAAGACATTTTAGGGTAGTCACATACACAGTTACAGTTAAGTATACACTTCTGGGTTATATTGAAATAAATCTTAAAATCGAATGATAATCTTTTTATATTAATAATACATTTTACCAAATTTTTACTAATAAAATAATGTACTTTTAAAACTAGCAAATAAATCTAATACTAATTCTTTCTCTCAATAAGGAAAAATTAAGATTTTACAATTATTAACTCTACAACGACCGCCTTTGTAGCTAAATGCTTAAACGTGTTGCCTAGCATTGCGTTAAGCGTGAGAGGTCCTGTGCTCGAGTCCCGGGGGAGACAGTTAATTGTTTCGGTCGGGGCAGGGCACAGAAGTCTGATCAACTACTTGCCTGTAAATAAAACCGATCAGTGAAACGGACATAGTTTTTTCGTGCCCAATGCCCCACGAGGGGAGGGGGATTTCACATTTAATTATTAACTTTGTAGAGGGTGTAATTCTAATTTAGGAATGTATGTTGATACGTTTTATCTGATACATTAATTACAATTTAATTTTGTAGACAAACCATATACATTTGGCTAAAAATCCTTTATTGTATAGCTTACACTCAAATATGTTATGTAGCGGTTTCATTTAAGTGCTATATGCCATACCAAGCCACTTGCTATTACATACTATTGATCAATATAAATGCTAGAGGCAGAGTGGCCTAACTGCAATTTTATGACTCGAGTTATTTATATTTTCACAGTCTAAAATGTTAATCTATAAGAGCATCGTAGCCTAAAATTGGTAACATAATTTTTACACAAATAATAGAACAAATATATTTTCACCTAACTTGATTTCGCATGTTTTTTCCTCCGGATTGAAAATCATGTGTTTTGTTATTAGACCACTCTGCCTCTAGCAGCCTCAATTCATACGGGAAAGGCAAAGCAGTCGTCTCGGTTGCTACAGTATTCGACAAAGAACTTACATCTAATTCAATGTTTATATTAATATGAAATAATTCAAGAGAGCGTTCCTTTATCGAAATCAATAATAGTACATTTCTATTTTATAAGACAATAAAATACGTGACGCTATACTCGAAATGCAGCGTTTGTAAGAGACCGCAGCCTAATTAATTATTAGAATCATTGCCGTTGAAAGTTGCACAACGTTATACGTGCCGCGAGTTTTGAAGTGGACGTTCGTTTATCACAATGTTAAAAAATTACCCATGCATTATTAGGTTCCTACTAATACTGCAATACCCATTCGGATATTATACGAACTTTTTCAAAAGTCCAAGATGGAATGTAGCGTTTCGATTTATTTCCGTCGTTTCTTTCGCTATAATCTTTTACAATGAATTCACTCTTGTTCCTGGCCCTTATTTCTTAGTTATCCTTATTTTTAATTATTTCAATTACATGATCACTACTCTAGCGGCATTTCTGTCAGGACATAACTACCTTTTCGTCTTTCGTGAAAAGTTGCTCTCTATCGAAGCGAAATTGTCCAAGACGGCGCCAAGTTTGCATATTTGCTTGTACGTGTTCATATTTATTGTGGGCAGTGAAAAAGCTATTTGGATATATTTTTTAGTATCGGATTTCCTGATTTATCACAAACATGCCCAGTTCGCCTTCTTCTGGATGTACATCAGATGGGGTTGCCTTTTCAATGCTTTCATTAGATGCGCCGTGTTTGAATGGCACTGGCATACCATGAAGAAGCTGCGAATTGTGTTTGAAGAGAGATTATATAAGACAACAAGTATGGCTCGTATTGAAAGAAAAGACATTGAAGATACATTATTGATCTACGCAGATTTGTTGGACGCATTGAATTCTATTGGATTTATTATGAAGTCATTGGTAATATAACAAATATATCCTGATATGATATCCAAAAAGGGTTCCTATTTTGACGTGACAACGTCTTATAATTCGGTAGAGCCGGCTGCACGGACGAAAAAACATAGCTCATGCGGCGTTACCTAAGGCGTTCCATGTAAGGCTTGAAGTGCAAGCGAGAGCGCGGAACGAGCGACAAAGAGCACAATCGGCCTTTGCGTTCGGCAACGTTCGACATCCGTCTCTCTCCCACTTGAGCGATGCGTCTGCGTGGACAGCTGCTATACTATTTACATGTATTGATCTAGTATCAAGTGCAGTGAAAAGTGAATACATACAAACCTATTAAACAAATGAAAATAATTTTTTTTTTTCGAAAAATGCTACCAATCCATCAGTATTTTCTTAAGACGTTGTCACGTTCAACTATAGTCAGTATACCGACTAGACTTTACAGACAACCAATGTTTTTTATTTTTTTTTATTACGTTTGTGGCCCGGGCCCGTCGATATGAAATAACAATCGCTGTACTTGCGGCTGCTTTTTTTTACATAACGCATTGTATGATGTCCGCTTATTATGACGTATTTGTCAATTCCTTTCGATGTCACTATAAACAGATCCAACTGTACATATATTATACACATGAAATTTTGCAGGTGGTATGGGATTCTCTCTTTCCTTTATTTTACATTTTAACTACTGTGGTTGCAGTCATCAGGGTTGATTCTAATATCGTAAGTTCAAAAAGTATAGCATTGTTATTGAAGGAAGGGTAACGATTTTTCTCGGCCAGTATGTATTTTTTAATCTGCAATCTTCAGCCCTCTCAGATTAAGTTATGCTGTCTGTTTAACCTTAAATGCACGTTTTTAGTAATGTAATTGTATGTCTCAGTAATAATCTATTTTACAAAAAAAAAGTAGTTTTTTTCTTTTTCTTTGTAAAACGTTCTATGTTGTGTCTGATTTTACACTTAATTTTTTCATTACATAACAACACACTTAAATATCTTTTAAGTAATTGTAATAAAACGTCGATAGTCATTTAAATAAAATATATATATACACTAAAAACATTACATAAAGACTAACTAAATCAGTATCCTTCATTTTGGTTTAGCTGTAGTCGGTTAAATTACGTTATTTTTAACTGATGTTTTTTCTAGGTTCTTAGTCGGATGCTGGTGGATGATTTCTACTATATGGCAATTTTCATTTTTCCGTGTATAATAATGGAGTTGGTGAAAAGCGAAGTAGATAAAATAAGAATAATGTTAACTGACATTTATACAGAGAGTTCAGGTAGTAGTCATCTGAATAAATGTTACAATTTGGTAACAGGCTTCTCTTCCACCTGCCGCTGCATATATCCACATACTTAGCACTGCTTTTTGAGATAAATTGTAATATTTTCATGTGCAAAACTACAGCACGCCTCAGAGATGTAGTTGTCCTCTATTGTGAAAAACGTATTTTGTGCGTTTGCTACTGAGACATGAAGTTTGAGGATTTGTGGAATTTTCTCCTTCACACTTACGGTTTTTAAGCCAATGCCATACGCGAAAATAAGAAAAAAACTTGTTTTTTCTCAGTATTCAGTATGAGATATAAAGAATAAGCGTATTGTTCTTGTTGTATGTACAAGCGAAGCATCAACCACCCGTTATTAACCAAAATTTCTTCTCAAATGCTAAACAGTGAGAGATAGGATTGAAATTTAAAAATGAGATGGCATGGACAGATCTTAAACCGGCATCTACAGTGATTTCGATCGTATTTAATTTATACGTCATCATGTGCAATAAATAACACGTGAAAAATATTAAAGTTGTATAATGATTTTTACAGATGAAGGCGTAGTGAGGAAAGCAGAAGACAGCCTAAAATTTCTTGATCTTTGCCCTTACGAGTTTGTGGTGTGGCATCTCATTCCTGTCAACATAAAATTGCCACTCAATGTGTTGGCAGTTTTAACTTCATACATGATAATCACTTTGCAGTTAGCTTATCTTTCTGGCTGATTTACTCATTTTCCGCACCATTTGTAGAAGAGCTTATATGTTTTAATTGCGTATTGAAAAAGCTGCTTTATTAGAAAACATTGTCTATATTGCGCTAGAAATATGTGAGAATTAATAATGCTTAAAATAAAGGGTATGTTAAAATAGTTGTATTTCGCTTAAGTATAGATATTCCTATCAAAATCATAAATGTGAAATGAAAGCCAAGTTCAATAATATTATATATGTCTTGGGTGTTGACATCAAGGACAAAGGGAGGGAGATTGGTGCATTGGAAATGGGTGCCAAGTCGCTGACAACATACTACAGTCAAGCACACTAATCACTAGATCAACGAAGCAGTTTGAATGACGTTTTTTGTATAAATATTGGTGAATATAAGTAGGAAAAAGAATTGTTATTAGGCGGTAGGAAGTTTGCGGAGTCAGTAGTCGTAGTAACGAGTATTCTATACTTTCTTGTACCTTTAACATTTTTGAGTGAATTGCCTATTCGTATCTGGAGTTATTTCACGCAATTTAGTTATTTTATTTGTTTTTCAACTATATTAAAATTAATACTTTTTAATTATTGCCTATACGATACTTAATATAAATATTGCAATAATAATACAACTACGTATGTACAAATATTTTCAAAAAAAATCAATGAAATTTGTAGCATAAATCTCAACCCAAGACGGCGCGCGCGGCGCCCAAGAGTGCAGTACCTAGTACTGAATTTAAAAAAGTTGTTACCATTATTTTGTTTTCTTTCTAAGTTATAAAAAAGAAGGTATCTGTGTAGGACACGAAATATCTCGTGGTGATTTATTTTAGCCATATTCCCAAAGATATTCCAATTAGGAGCACTAACTACGCGAAAAATTGTTTAATTATTAAAAGCTGTGATTTTTGTAATATTTTTGTTCGAGTTAGATCTCAGAAACAAGAGTTATATATATTTAGTTTAACATTTAAGTCGTAGTATCTTATCTAAATAATTGTTATTGTATTTATGTTATTCTTCTATTATTTCCATTCCTTTGTTATTTCTTTTATTGTTTTTATATGAATAAGTGAAACTTGTTCTGTTTGTGTAGGTTAAGTATTTTTTGTTCTGTATATGAATGTTTGTTTCGTTTCCAAATAAATAACATAAAATAACAAATTGTGTAAGGCTTCCACGGCCTTAAAATAAAATAATTACTCAAATCTTTTATCAGATAGTTCTTTACCGAGTATCCATTTAAAAAGCAATTTTCGTAGCGAACACGTTAAATCGAATATCGATTGAATCACAAAGGAGTCATGTAAATGGTGTTACAGTTGTTTGCTCGGTTATAATGGCCTCTGACAAACCAATAGACAATACCCAGGACACACCATAGAGCTAAAAACTTATGGACATTTGGTTTTTAATTGTTGAAAAAGCATTTCAATTGTAGTGTCCCGAAATAAAATTTGCATTCCGTTTTCTCTCTGTCTGGGATTTATATATATTTTTGTATTTTTTATTAAGAAGTAAATCTAACTTTCAAGTCCGTATTCGAACTCAGGACCATTCGCTTTGAGCCACTAAGACTATAGACCAGGAGGCAGATACAATTTTTTAAATACCTATAAGTCGATACGCAAAATCCTTATCAAATAGAATTTTTATTGTAGAATTAGTAATAAATAACAAAATAAAGGATATATAGATAGGTTTACTTGTGATCTTTATTATTATTAAGAATGTATTTCTAGTAAAAGAAATAAGTAAAACAGAATACGTTGAAGGATTAATTGGAACAAATTATTTCCGAGCCTGCTTTTTAATTTGATTTTGCTTATCTGAATCTTTATAAGTCTACATAAGGTCGTAATACTCAAAACGTGCATCAATCAAACTCGTAAATTGCTTCTCTCATCGCGACAGGTTTAAAACACAATCCCTTTTAAAACCACATAACTATTAATATGGGGTAATAGGCCAGTGCTTGCTAAAATACGTTGCAAAATGTAACTCTAAGGTAATTCTACGATTATATCCTGTCGTTTTATTTAATAATCACTTTTGTTTAATAATATTTATTTATGTTATATACGAATTAACTTATAATTTAATTGCCCCCAGTCATTAAGTTAAGAATGTTTACACTATTCTCTATAGATTTTTAAGTATATTTCATATACTGTCTATAGTGTTTTATTTAAATGTGTACTAGCAGACCACACTATTATTTGCTATTGCATCTGAAATACCACGAAACATTTTGATTTTCTTTACATTCACGTTCATATAGTTATGTATCTAGTTAATATTTTTATTGTTATACTTTTTGGTAGTAAGTAACATTTCTATATAAGACGTTTGTGCGTAGGTATAGATCACAACAAATACATTCTTATAAGCACTATGCTTATCTACGCTAATATTATAAATGCGAAAGTAACTCTGCCTGTCTGTCTGTCCGTTCGGCTTTTTCGCCAATACTACTGAACCGATTTAAATGAAACTTGGTAGACAGATATTCTAGAGCCTGAGAAAGCTCTACTTTTTAATGCCAAAAAAGGTTGTTAGAGGTAAAAAAGGGGGATTAAAGTTTGAATGGAAATTCGTGATTTTGGAAGCTACAACAATGAAACTTTCTTCTTTGGCTTTTTGGGAATGGGAGTGGGAGTGTTGAATGTGCCCTTTTATAAATAAATAAACAGACTAAATAATTAAAAATTCTACCCAAAGTCACTATTTCACGCGGACAAAGTCGCGGGCACAGGTAGTAGTACATATTTTTATTTTTAAATAATCAATTAGATAATAGATTTAATGTTTGCATCACGACTTTTCTCGCAAAAAATAGGTCAATAAATATTATTTGTCTTACCGATGAACTCAGGTCGATTAGCGAAAATGCCAGACGATGTGTTTTATGATTCGCCATGAACGGAAAGAGTACATGCAAAAATGACGGGCGCCTTTTGAAAATATTTGACGTCATCACTGAATCGTGACGTTTTTAATATTCTGTTTACCGCTTTCGCACGCTCAATTAGTTTGTTATAACAAGCGTCAGTGACCAAGCTATTGATTGAAGGACATCAAAGGATCAAAGGGTTCATAAAACATTTTAGTGGCTGTATATGGTATTTACATTACAGGGGTAGCTTATGCTTCATGATAAGTTATTTATAACTTTTTTTAACACAAACACACACACGCTGAGTGTGCACTTGATAAAAGGTAATATGCCCCAGCCCTATAACATCATAACAGATGTACTTCCGTTCCACAGACAGACAGAAAAGTGAAGATTGAATTCTGTAATTTTTGGATCATGGTTTGTTGACAGGACAGGGTTAAGACAAGTTTGGTTAGAATTAGTGAAGTAGTTGGTATGGTTTAAAAAAAAAACAAAAATAGACTATGATAGATCGAACCTGTAAGCCATTTATTTTTAAAATATAACGTGTACCACTTGTGTATAATTATTTTATAATTATGATGTTTTATACTGTCTATAGGTTTGTTTCGTTCTATCGCCTAAAAAAAATAAGCGATAGTGGTGAACGAAGTATTTAAATTTGGAATAGTGGGGTAGCCAAAATTAAACTTATTTTCGTTACCTTCAAAAGATTAAACTGAGCCACGCTTGGGAAAGGAGCGTTACAAAAATAAGTATACATACATTTTGTTTGCGTTGAGCAATTTTGCGCTTTCTGATAACGCACCTAGCGTTGTAAATTTGTAGTTTTATAATTATAAACATGACTTCTTGATACTTCATTGACTTTCTTGGTTGAATATACCAACTAATGTTATGATCAATACGGTTGAGAGTTCACTGCATCAGAGTTAATGCAATATTAAGATCTCCCCTGTCATCAAGTGACGAACGTGATGATTTTCAGGCGACTGCCTTCCCTTCAACCCTTGAACAGGCTGTATATAGGTACTAGGTTCTTGCCAGGTGGCGATGATTCATGCAGTACTATTTTGAATAATGACACCACGTTGAGTATGAACTTTTTCAGTTTAGACTTTTTTATTCTAAGAGATTTTTTTAAAATCATTTTTGCGTCATATTTTTCGACAAACACAAGTAATATTAGATTCATTCATTGTAATTTTAAGCTCCAGATAGACTGCTTTGTGACAATGGCATAGGAGAAGCGTTTCCTTACTAAAATTAATTATAAAATATAACTTCTTAGGAACATCCTCTAGTTAATAAAAACGATTTAGGTTCGATTTGGGCTTTAAAAAGTTTGTGCTAAGTTACAACTTTAAGTGGTCGAACTAAACATCTGCAGTCCCCCACTGGGGGGGAATCAACAAAGCGGTGGTGAGTAATTACAGAAAAATGGGGAATATATGGGTCACTGTGGTTGTGTGGGTGTCGTGCCAACAACACTTGAACACTAAGTACACACACATAGACCTATAGATGAAGCCTTTAATGAAGTTTATACCCGACTGCCTTGAAGCACACCTTTTTTATCTTACTCGTTTACTGCAGTATAGAAAGAAAAATGGAACGAATACAATCGTTTAAGGATATGGGAAATACTTTCAAGCTTAAAAATATTTGACGAATTATGTTAAGAAAATAGTAATATTATTTTTAATAATCAACTATAAATAAGTAATTAAGTAATCTTAATATATATTACCAACTTAAGTAGTAATAAAATAGTTCGTTGTTGTACAATATATTATAGAGTTATTATTTTAGTATGACTCAAAGGTTTCATGAGCCACAATGTAATGTTAGTAATGTTAATAAAATTTCTACCTCGCCATTGCCATTAATTAAAGTTATAGCTATTAATAAAATTGTATGTCGTTTAATTTAGACGTAATAATCTTGAAAATAGTTTTTGGCACAGTTTTATGTGAATAATATATTGGAAACGGCGTATATTTAGTAAATATACCTACCTAATATGTATTATAAAAAAATGCAGTATGCTGCATAGCAAATTTTAACGGTCACAGTTTAGTTTCCACAAAGACCGTAGCTACGACTACTATTAAGC